TCTCTTCTCTACAAGGAATTCCTTCGTCTCTCAAATTCTTGTCTCAATTTCTGGGGGTTCGGGTTAGAGATGACTGACTTCCCTAGTAATTGACCAACTCCTAGGCTCAGTTTTCTTGCCATTCACCAGAGATCAGATTTGGTAAGAACAGAATAGGAAGGATCAAGGCTGAGATGGAGAAAGAGGTGATAGCAAACCAGAGAAGAAGATCATACATAGTATGAGGGTTCTGGGGGTCCTTGGCATTGTGGGGCCATTATTGCTGTATGGTGATGGGTCTGTGATAATTTCTGCTTATGAGAGATTTGGGGGGCATTGTACAGCCAGTTATACATGATCAGAGAGCCACTGCACACTGTCTATCCCTATCAGAGGAAGAGCTCTTCAAATATGGATTTTGAGAGGGCTATTAGTTTAAGCATGTGTCAACAAGGAGCAAATAGGAACATCCAATCATGCTGGTGTTGAGTGGGGACTGCTTGTGTCTTGGGTGCCATGGGGAATATCTGTTATGAAGGAGATGTTCCAAGATGAGAGGACACAGGCAAGAAGACAGGCACCTCCATTGCCACCTATCACAGCATTCCGTCTCCTGATTCCACCTGCTCCCTCCCCAGGACCCAGTCTGCCTTCGGCTACGCCACTGTGACCTCACCCCTCTTCTTTTAGAGTGAACTGAACCCTCTGAAGAAGGTGGAATCTGGGGCTAGGAGGCTATTAAAGGACACAAGCCTCCAATGACAGGTTTATTAAAATATTCCTCCTGCCTAAAAGTATAAACAAAGTCCATCAAGACTTAAAACAGTGTTCATATGAGCAAAGAATCGAAACATCTCCAGATGACTCCTTTACCCCTGCCACAATATCCTTTAAATGGGGCAGATAAAGTGGGGGTATTGCTAAATGGGGGCAGTGGGTGATGCTAACCATGTCATAGGAAGCAAGCAGAAGTGAAGGTCCTCAATACTTACCTCTCCTGGGTTGCTCCAGAGACCGGTATAGACAGTTTCTGATTTATCTGGTTCTTAAGAGATGACTTTAAAGAGAAATTCCTAAGCCTGAGGGACTTAGCCAGAATTGAAGCTAACAGCCCTTTGTATACCAATTTCCAGACTCTCTGTAGCTCTTTCAACCTGACCTTCCAAAGCAGCAGAGCAAACAAAAGAAAGTGAGGTGGGCCATTGTAGCTTGACTCCTTCAGGAGGCTCTATGGGTCTCAAAATCGTCCTCTGGGATCTGCAGCACGTGGGAATGTGCTAGCAGAACTTCTGAGTGCTTCTCCTGCAGAGAGAACCCAGACAGAGAGAGAAACCAAGAGGGAACACCTCTTCTCATTATGGCCCACACTTAATCCTTAACCTTAAGTTTGCTTCATGACCCAGGATTTTTATAGAACTGTCTTTATAATGATCTAAATGAGTCCTCTCTCAAAAGATGGTTCTTCTGAGCAGACTTGGCCATTTACTGGTCACACAGGCACCTCTACCAAAGACTGAGTCCCCTCAGCTCCGAGGCACCACAGAAGAGCTTGGGTTATTAAGCATAATTTGCTGAGTCGCTACCCTGAGGCAGGCACTAGAGGGTCCTGGTGCACAGCACCTCACTGGCCATGGCCCCTGCCCTCAACAAGTGGGCAAAGAGATTGACAGTCAAATAAGCCCACCCCTGCTGAGTAACAAGGCATTTAATCTGGAGTGAGTGGTTGGTGGAAGTATGGAATTAATTAATTGCACAGTGTTGTGCTAGCCTGGTCTGGGTGATCAGAGGTGATAGGTGGGAGGAAAAGGAAGAATATTATTTTTTCCAGGGGAAACAGGATGTGTAAACGACCTGGAGATTGGAGTGTGGTGTGTGTTAGCAAAACCAAGAACATGTGCTGGTCAGCATGGAGTGTGGAAGGCAATTTGGGAAAGCACAGAAGAGTGGTATATGAGGTTCTCGAGGTTGGCTTGTAAAGAACACTGTAATTCAAGTCAGTGAGCTTAGATTTGACCAAAGGAATGGGACTTTTAAACGAGTTGTGGGTGTGGGGGGGGTCAGTAGGTTTGTGTACCCTGGTACTCTCACCCAGTGAGAACATCTAGCAGGACTTTATCTCCATTTCCTGGTGACGAAAAGTTTCATCCTATGTAGAGCCATATGTGCATAAGTTAAGGCCAGGTGGAGACACTGCAAAAAAATCCCTGTGGGCTCAGGTTGTAGCAGCGTATGTTTGGAAGGCAAGGTTCCCCTTCCAAATATATGTACCATCCTAGAGACTTCATACTCAAAATCTTTGCTCACAGGGAACCATGACACATCAGGGAAACAAATGTTTGTAAGTTTGTTGTCAGTACCAGGAGAAAGTCCTTGGAAGAAGAAAAACCCAGTCTAGATGCCCCAGGGAGCAAGCTACAAGATACCACATTGAACTCCCAGGCACCTGCCCTTGAAGTCTCTGCCAGCCTTGTTTCCTCTAAGATTGGCTTACTTTCTGATACACTGGCCACCCCATCATTCACTCCAGATCAAAAATCCCTTGATGCTTTCCCTGGACCAAATCTCACTCTGAAACCTCAGGTATATTTCCCCATCATGGTGTTTTCTCACTCATGATAGAGGTGATCAAGGAAATGTTCATGGGACCATTGGACATCAGAGGTGGGAAAGAAACATCATTCAATTTAGAAGGAACTGAATGGGAACAGAGTCTGTAGACTGTATGAAAAGAGGTTTCTAAAAAATTCGGCCTGGCCACCTTACTTTGAGGTGCCGCTTTCAAAGCAAAGGTAGCCAGGTAATCATGATGCATTCAAGGCAGAGGCTACACTAGACAGGATTTGCTCAGGCTAGACCATTACCTTGCCCATGCGCAAAGCCTCCTGGGAGAAAGAAAGCCCCATTTCAAGTTATCAGGGTTCTCAGTACCAGATGTCCACATCTCTCCCTCAAGGCAGAAGTGATTTCTTAAGAAAGCTCAGGTGTCCCCTCTCTAGCAAGTCTACAAAGTAGGGGATAAAGTTGGGGAAAAGCAGATTTCTTTTTTATATGGGAAAGCCTTTTCTGGTATGTGTAAAGCCCAGAGCCAGACTATAGGACGTAGCCAAGATGTCTAAATGCTCATAAGTAAAGTCAAAAAGTCACAAAGTATGTCCCCTCTTGAGAGGCTGAGGCAAGCATGTCTTTGTGGTGATAGGAAAGTTTCCTTTGAATTCAGAATGCCAGGCCCTTCCTAACACTAAAGCATAACATGGCCGTGAGCAAGAGTGGTCTTGGGGTCCCTGCCTCTGTCACTAATAAGTGTGATGGATTTTACACACAGACATGCAGATCTGATCATGCAGATCTGATCATGCAGACTCTGTCCAGATGGCCCACTCGAGACATAGTTTGCTTATGGAAAAACAGATCTGTAGAGGAAGCATATACCCCAGAGGAGGCTCGGGAACTATTTAAACAGAGAATTTGGAGAACCCAACCAAGTACCCCAGAGTGAGTGGTCTGGAGGTGTGGTTTCCAGAGAGTGACCTCTTGATCACACTGATTTCTCCTCCTCATAGAGATGTATTCCTAGAAAAAGTCCAGGGCGAGGATCTCTCTCGCCCAATGCTGAACATGGGCAACACCCAGGAGCCAGAAGCAAATTCACTAACTTCTAAGCCACAGCCTGACCTGAATGTTGAAGAAAAACATATTCTCAGCATAGAATCCCCTTCCCAAGTACTAATTCTCTACATCCCCCTAAACCTCTCCATTTTCCTAGGCCAGACAGGACTCTGAGGCATGTCTTCACTCCCTCATGTCCAAGATCCTTCTAAATCTCAGTCGTAGCCACATATTTCCTCCCCGGTGTCCCCGGAAGTACACAACTAGGTCTCTACTGTTCCGTCCACAGCGCCAGGTACCAACCAATGCAGCAAAGGTTTTTGCGACCCAACCTGGGCAGGAAGGGTCTGGCGAGGTCAATGAACTTAGGTCTCCCCGAATGAGATACGCGCCCACTCAAAGCCCTGTGCGCCCCAAAGCCAAAGGTTCAGAGCGAAGGTTAAGGTTATGCAGGAAGGTGTGTGTTTTTTCTTGTCATTTACGACTCTGATGATGGACTCACGTTGCCCGCTCTTCCCTTTCTCTTACACCTTTCCTAACTAAAGGAGGAGTCCTTGCTTGGTAAGTGACGTAATCCGCAAAGACATGAGAGAATTTATTAGAAGCCACTCAGGATGCTTAGCTACCTCCTTCGAGGGAGAAGGACGCGCACAAATGCCTGTAGAGACTCGTTTTGTTGTTTTGTTTTGTTTTTTGGTTTGTTTGTTTTCAGCCAAACTATTTGACTTTACGTTTATTTTGCCCCCTCCCTCTCTTGACTCCTTTAGTTGGAAATTACTCAAACGTCAGTTTGCGACTTTGACTATTTTTTTAAGAAAGAAAAAGAAAGAAACCAATTCTCATCTTTGTTTCTTTGACCCACGTGACATTTGTTCAGGGTTTTATTCAGGCAACATTTTCTTTTAAAAAAAAGAAAGTTAGTTGAGGATTTGGGTTGAAATTTACAGTTTGCCTTTATCTCCTTTTGTGTTTTTAATTTCCAAGATATAAAATTTGAGACCTGTAGCCTCTTTTCTTTTTTATTCCTCTTCCCATTCCTTTATTTTTATTATTGTTTGAAGCTAAGGGTGTCTACAGCCCTCCCTGTTTCTATTGATTTGTCTCTTTTGTTTGAGTTCATTAGAGATTACATTCTGTATAATTTCATTTTGCTTTTGTTTAATCTGAATCGCATGCCTTTCCCCTGCATGACTCCTAAATCTTCCAGTTATTCTAGCAGGGGGTAAAAAAAAATAATATCTAGAGGTCTCCTATTTCTGTGGAATTCTTTCAGGAATTTGTGCTTTTGTTTTTTGGCGTCTCCTCTCTCCCCTCTCTCTTTGCTTTCGTTACAGTGACTCATGATGGTTAACATTCTTGATTACTTACACACAGCCTGGAGCTCAGCAGTGTCCGACGGGTCTTTTTGTTTTCAGATCTCTGGGTCGGGGTCTGCTGCTGACCTCTTTAGCAAATCAACCAGTCCGCTCACCGCCTCCAGAGGGCGCTCGCAGGAGTACGACTCAGGCAATGACACATCCTCGCCGCCCTCCACGCAAACCAGTTCAGCCAGGTCGAGGGGCCAAGAGAAGGGGAGCCCCGGTGGGGGTCTGAGCAAGAGTCGAGACCTCAACTGCGGCAACACTTCGGATTCAGGGAACTCCTTCACCACCTCCTCCCCCCAGAACAAGGGGGCTGTTTTGGAGAATGTCTCTCCCACCTGCAGGAGCAGTGAGTCAAGGTCAGTGTATTTGGGGGTGGGAGGGGTCCCCACTTTGGCGTCACTTTCTTACTCTCTCATCACAGTGCCCTACCCTTCCCAGGCATCTTTATTCTCACAAGAAAGGACATACCATTAAAATTAGCTTGTTTAAAAAGAATATATATCTAGCCAGGAGGTGGTGTCACACGCCTTTAATCCCAGCGCTCAGCAGGCAGAGTCAGGCTGATCTCTGTGAGTTCAAGCCCAGTCTTGTCTACAGAGTGAGTTCCAGGACAGCCAAGGCTACAGATAAAGCCTGTCTGGAAAAACAAAACAAATATCACACACATCACACACACTCTCTCTCTCTCTCTCTCTCTCTCTCTCTGTACAGCTGGACCCAGGCATTCAAACTGCACTACTTCATCTTTATCTTTTGAATTTGACCTCTCAGTTCTGCTCACTCTGCTCCCACACTGTTGGCTTCATTCTCAAGAAGACCCTCCCAGACTTTCAGATATGCTCAACACCTGTGTCTCCAATCAGTCAGCAGACTGCCTCTGCCCCTCCAACATAAAAATCTTAACAAAATACCAAACCCAGTGCTTACTGGCTCTACTTGACCCAGCTTGGGTCATTTGTCCCCCTCAGACCAGTCTCTCTGGCCCAGAAGGCGCTAAGTTACAGGGTAGAGCCAGATGTCTCTGCAGGAAAAGCTAGAGTGTTGATATCAAGAGGGAGGGATGGAGAGAGGAGGACAAAAATAGATGTCAATTCACCTACCAAGAGTCTCAGGGATGGTGAACCTCATTTAAATCACTGTTGGTGAAAAACATACCATAGTCCTGACCAAAATAAACTGAAAACATACACCCCAAAATCTGCTTATATATGATTATAGTTTTGTTTATATTTTTAGAACTTGGAGGCAGCCAAGTCTTTTAGGTGAATAAACTGTGGTATATCTCTACTCTAGAATACTATATGTCTCTAAATAATAATAACAATTATTATTATTATGTGCTATCGGTTTATACAAAAGACACACACAGTACCAGCTACATGAAATTATAACACATGTCCAGTAACTCATCCAAAGTCATAGCATATATAACACCAAGAGTAAGCCTGACAGAATCTATGGGCTTTGGGTGATGGTATGAGGTATTGGCTCCTCAGTCTTAACATGTAGACTACTTTAGAGAAGGATGTTGGTTGTGGGAGATGAGGTCCAGAAGCCAGGAGGCTCATGCTTTGTGCTCAATTGTGCCCTGAAATAAAAAAACGCTTGGAAATAAAATTTACTCATGAAAAACATATCACTGTAAAGTCGAGGCGGGGTTCTTTTCATTTAGTGCTATGCATTTTTCCTTCTGAAAATACATCTCCACATTTGTTTACAAGCCAATGACAGTACCATCATTTCATCGCCAACTGCTCTGTCACTCAAGCGATCACAACAAACAGCAACTGGGGAGGTAGTGTGGCGGTTAAAATGCTTGCCAAGCAAGCAGTGTAAACGTCAGGTGGGCATGATGGCCTGCCTGGAGTTCTACCCTCTGGAGCCAGAGACAAGGGATCCCCAGAGCAAGCTGGCTAGCAAGACCAGGCTTATCCATAAGCTCCAGATTTAACTGAGAGACCCCACCTCAAAGAAGAAAGTAGTCTGCACCATCCATTCAGTTATCCATCCCTCAACTTCTTACCAGACACGCCCTATGGCTGCACTCAGCTTGATACTAGAGGTGAGAGATGGCAGGGCCCTTTTTCATGAGTTTATAATTCACCAGGCACATGGGTGGGGGGAGGTGGCCAGCACACTCTACCCAGACAAACACTGGGGTTTTCCTTCTGCTGGGGATTCAAAGGTGGCCAAGATTTCCACATGATGGCCACACACAGCTCAAGCATGGAAGCAGCTGACAGTGTCTTCAAGGACAGAGCACCCCTTATCTCCAATACAAGACCTAGCCAGGCTTCAGGGCTGGACAGTCAGCCTGGGTCTGCATATAGTCTGGCCTCTGGTTTGCCTGCTCTGGGACAATCCCTATCCTCAGCTCATGCCCACATTTGCTAGGAGACAGAGTTGGATCAGTGCAAATGTCAACCTCTCCAAGGGCAGACAGTTAAGTTCCCACATGGGAGAGGAAGGCTGCCACATATATACTGACACACTAAAGTGCTGTGGTTTGGGAGGATCGAGAGAAAAGGCGACAATAATAATAATACTGAAGCCGGGCGGTGGTGGCGCATGCCTTTAATCCCAGCACTCGGGAGGCAGAGGCAGGCGGATCTCTGTGAGTTTGAGACCAGCCTGGGATGCAAGAGATAGTTCCAGGATAGACTCCAAAGCCACAGAGAAACATTGTCTCAAAAAACCAAAATAACAATAACAATAATGTAAAAGTATTAGTATTAATTAATTAAAAAGCCCTTAGTATCTACTGAGCCAGATAGCATGCTAGACACCATTGAAAAAAGGCTTCCCATGAATACCTTTCCTCGGTCCTATTAGTGTCTTTTTGCAGCAGGCACTATTATAACCCTTTTGTAAACTGATAGGAAACTGAGGTACAGACTCAGACAAATTCAGTTAATAAGCAGCAATAGCAGCATTCCAATTTGAACCTCTCTCTAAAACAAGCCCCAAAGTCTAAAAGATATATAGCTGTTACTTGCTTCATTTGGTATACATAGACAGCCAAATTAAATAATTTAGAACCAGCCTTTCACTTTGGAATGTAAATAATGGTGAAATCATGGGTATTTATGTCCTGCCAGCCATGGACAAAAGGGCTCAATAAATATGGACTAAGTGAAGAGATATGAGTTGGAAGTCAAGGGCACTACAGACACAGAGGGTAAGGAATTGGAGAGGTGACAGGGATGTGTATGTGTATGTAGACAGATCCAAGTTTGGAACTCTGAGTGACCTGAGCAAGTCACTAGTCCTTCTGAGCCTCCTCTATAATTTGTTCATAAAAGTAGTAGGGCCAGATTCATAATGTTACTGAGAAGATTAAATGAAGCGATGCTTGAAAAGAGCCCCAGACACAGACGGGAAGACTTAAGATGACACGTGACAAGCCATGTGTGGAGTCCGGGGTGGGAGGACACATGTCTTTTCCCAATGAATTCAACACCCATGGCAGAAAACACATGGGATCAAAAGACCTAGTGAGTCATGTATGAATGGGGGAGGGCTAGGCAGAAGGGGCCATGACAACACACAGGAGACCGTTAACCCAGAGTGGGGAAGAGAGACTGTCCTAAAAGGCTTTTCAGAGAAGATGGGAGTCAAGTCAAGAAAGAGTCATGTGTAAAGCAATGGTTAGGTGACAAGAAGAGAGAAGATGAGTGCAGATACCAGCATATTCTAAGGTCTAGAGACAAAGGACAGAATAGGACACTTTGTTTGGGAGAGGACACCCTGTTAGGGTCAAGGGCCAAGACTACAGAGGTGAGCAGACGCCAGGTCCATCTTGAATCTTTCAAGATTCATGACAGTTTTCAAACTATATCAGTGTGATTTGAAGTTGATTCTTGCCCTAATCAAATGAACATGTCTTCATAAGGACCTCAGAAGGAGTTCAGAATGGCCCTAGAAAAGAGAGATTGTAAAACAAAGACCACTTACCTTTTGTCTAATTATAAACAAGCCTCCATCCACCTGTTTTGAGGTTCCACACTCTCTCCATCTGCAAAGCCCAAACTTAGCTAACCACCTTCTTGATTCTTTTAAGCTATACTCTCCCTGGTTTGTTTATTGTGATCATATCACTGTTTCTGCATGGAAATGTGTTTGCCTTTCTGAAAAGTAATAGGTCCTAAACAGAAAGCACCTGTGATAATATGATTAAGACAGTGTATCTAACTCTAATCAGTTACACAGTTCCCTGCTCAAGGCTCTGACTCCAAGGCCTGTTCCTTTATCTTGGGGAGATTACAAAGTGTTATAGAGGTGTTAAAAACCCACTAGCACCCAGTCAGGGTTTTCTCATCCATGCAATCAGAAGGACTGGACAAGGACAAGAAAGAGGGCAGGAGAAATCTCTTATCACATGATTTTATGTTTTTAGCCTTGTGCCTACAAGGACCTCCTCGAAAACTCTGATCTGGCCCCCAATATGTGTCCCCTACCTGGAGGATGCTGAATTGGATTAAATACCATTCTCCTTGATTAGATATCATTCATCTTTTCCATCTCTGCCCTTCTAAATTCTGTCATCTGGCAGTTCTTCCCAGAAAGAGGGGAGGTGGAAAAAGGAATTGAGGATACTCACTGTATCCTAATCAAAGGTGGTAGAGGAAGCATCAGGTCAAGGAACCCCCAGAGAAAGGGCATCTGGGTAATGACAGATGTTCTCCCTCCTGCAGAGGATTTCAGTCTCCGTGTCTACAGTGTGCTGAGGTGAAGAAGTCTAGTTTGGTTCCATCCACAGCCCGGAGCTCCCCCATCAAAGAGTGCTCCCGTAGCTCCTCCTACACCAGCACCCGATCCTCCAGTCCCTCTTCCCGGTCCCTAAACCACAGAGCCTCCCCCAGGTACACCCGGAGCCGATCCACCTCCTCTGAAAAAAGGTGAGTATGTTTTTGCAACATTTGACCCTCTGTATGTCAAGTCAGGCTTGGCTTTGAGTACCTGCTCCAGCTATTACTACTGGCAACCTGGAGAAAGACAGTCAATATCTCTGAGCTCCTGTTTTCTTCTGTGAAGAATAAAAATAATAGGAATGCAGGGCTCAGTGGCCCAATGGCTCATCCTAGGGTGCAAGCACTTAAAATACAAGGAACGTGCATTATTTTAGTTTCTGCTGGCATGAGGATGAAGTGAGTATCAATTAACTTCTTCTGCATAAAAAAGTAACCAATATAATCCTTCACATAAAATGCATTTATTTAGTCTCTGTAACTCTGTGGATTAGTAATTTATGCTGGGTTCAGTAGGCTGGTTCTGTCCTCAGCCCTCTCATGTGTTTTTGACCAGATGGTGAGTTATCTGGGGGCTGGGAATTGAAAGTCATCCAATGATTAGTTATCTCTGCTGTGTGTTGTCTCTCATCAATTAGCAGGGTTATCTGCTAGTATGAATGGTAATGACAAGGAAAGAAAGGGAGGGAGGGAGAGAGAGAGAGAGAGAGAGAGAGAGAGAGAGAGAGAGAGACAAAGACAGAGACAGAGAGACAGAGAAACAGAGAGAGAGAGACAGAGATCTAGTAATGGCAAGGCTTCCTTACTTGTCAGCTTTAAGTAACATTCCGTCCCTCCTGCTATTTATTCTATTAGCCATAGTAAGTCATAAGACACCGCCAGAAGATTCTCCCTTAGTGAGAGGAGTTATAGAGTTACAGTTCAGGGGTTATGCAAGACAGAAAGAGAATAATTGCAGCTGTTTTTGTATTCCATCCCCCAATTTCAATAGCCATTGGTATTGCTTGGTTACTTTGTATGGTAACCTGGTAAAGCTCTTTTTTTTAACATACAGACAGGAGATCTCAGGAAATGGAACAGCCCATCTAACCCAGCCCTCATGGACTCCTTGAGCCCAGCTTCCCCCTTCAAACAAAAAATTCCAACAGCAAGTTGATTGTTCCTCTTCCTCAACCATATAATCAAAATTCAGTTGCTTCCTTGGTTGGTAATTTCAAAACCAGCACTTGTCTTTTTTCTGTAAGATTTCTCAATGCAAATGCAAAGAGCAAACTGGAAGGACACTTTTCCAGGAGGGGGGAACAACTCGCTCAATAGGAATGAGATATTCTTTCCCCCATAATATTCTCCAAGAGCCGGGTCATCAGTAGTGGAAGAGGGACAGTAAGTGTGGACAACAGGGCTTGTAATCGAGATGCATCCCCAAGAGGTGTCCTCCCCTCTTGTCCACAGGAGGTATGGTCTATGATCCCCAGTGGATGCCTGTAACCAAACCCTTGGATATGCTTGGGTACATACCAAACCCTATAACGACATTGCCCATCTCCCTTTGTAACTAAGCACCCATTGTGCACTATGATGGAAGTATTTTCAATGTGAGGTGTTGTAGCAAAATTAACATGAGCTCTGCTCTCCTGTTTCCTGGGGATCTCTGTTCTTGCCACATATCTTAGTACACTCTGCCTCTGGGTTGTTGTTTTTCTTTCTTTCTTATTGGGTGGAGAATGCTTACACTCTCTCTTAGTGGAAGCATGCCACTGCTTCTTTCTAATACGTATGGGTGACTAGCATCACTCCTCCCTTACTTGTGGACCATATTTAAGTAAATGGGATTGCTTACACACATGCACTGAGATCCTGTGATCACAAGAAGGCAGATGTGATCACAAGTAACAGGCAAGTAGCATATGCAATCCACTTCCTAGGTAGGGTGAAACAGGACAGAAGTGCTTACCGTGATACTCAGGATGATTTGAAATGTTAAACTTATGAATTACTTGTTTATAGAATTTTCCATTTCTTAATATTTTTAATCCATTCGTGAAGCCATAGAAAAGCAAAACCGCCGGGTGTTGGTGGTGCACACCTTTAATCCCAGCACTCAGGAGGCAGAAGCAGGTGGATCTCTGTGAGTTCGAGGCCAGCCTGGTCTACAGAGTGAGTTCCAGGACAGCCTCCAAAACAATACACAGAAACCCTGTCTCAAAAAAAAAAAGAAAGAAAGAAAGAAAAGAAAAAAGAAAAGCAAAACCATGGGTGGGGGGGGTGGGACTCCCATAATCTGCAGAAGTCAAAAGTTCTTTGCAGCCAGCCACTCTTGGATTCATGTGTCCACTAGCTGTGTGATCCTGATCAAATTGCATTGCCTTTCTGTGTCTTCATTTCTCCATCCATAACATGAAATCAATAACAGTTCCTAACCCTAGGATATGTTAAAGATTAAGTAAGATGCATGCATTTTCAAAAATGTTCAATGCCTGGCACATAATAAAATGTATAATAGTTATAGCTAGTGTCTCCAGTGTAGTGACTAATTGGCACTTAGTATATATACCAATATGCTCAGTGGTTTGCTCTAATTTGGATTTACAGCCAACTTTGTAAGGTTGTTACTACTACCACATTTTGCAGACGAGAAAACAGAAGCCTAGAGTAATGGAATCATGTGTCCAAGACGTCACAAAAAAAAGTGGTCAGGACAATAAGCATTCAGGAAATAACAGGGAGTTGTCCGTATTATTATTAATTACTCAAAAAAGGAGAGGATTCCATTCTCTGGTTCCGGGTCAGAGTTCTTTACAAAACGGAAAAGAGCGCCACCTGGGGTGCAGGTTCACAGAGCCTTAGCCATCTGCACAACCCTAACACAAGTCTTCAGGGCCTCTTCCCTCTTCGGCAGGTCCTACTCTCGCTCTCCCAGCTATTCTTCCAAGTCTGGCAAGAGGAGCCCGCCCAGCAGAAGCTCTAGGTCTCGTCGCAGTCCCAGCTATTCCCGCTACAGCCCGAGCAGGTATGGTCCCACTCGCCACCCCACTCCCAGGATGGATCCTGCATCCTGGGCCACACTGCTTTACTCAGATCCTAAATTCTTGCCTTGCTCCTCTCTGTACCAGCCTTCCAAACCCTGCCCAATCCGTAGCGCTGGAGAGGTAGGGACTGAAATTCTTGCAGTCCTTTTTGTCCAAACAAGAGTGGCAACAAGGTGCAGTACACCTTGTGACCTACTCCCCTTCCACACCCAGCGGCTTCATCTCCCTGCGCACTTGTTAATTCCTCTTGCCTCTGCATTCACAACCCCAATTCTCGCCCACCCCAGGGCCTCTGATATGGTCCTCCTCACTACACCACCCTTTGCGCTTCTGCCGAGGGACACACACACACACACACACACACACACACACACACACACACACACCAAGCTACCACTTTAGCGCATGCCCCGCTTGACCCATGGTGCTCATCTAACCATATTCTTTCCAAAGTGGGTGAGATTCCCTGTTGTCTTTGGAGCCCCTGGCAAAGGCCAGTCTCAGTAGGGTGGCGGGGGACAGCTAAGAGTCTCACACACCTGCAGAAAAGCCAACCCAGCCCTAGTTACCTAGCAACCCCCCCATCCTGCTGCTGTGCCCCTTCAGGGACCCCAAGTATGGTGAGAAGGAATTGCAGCCCCGAGAACGTGCACGCAGGAGGCGACGGTCCTACTCACCCATGAGGAAGCGCCGGAGAGACTCCCCAAGCCACCTGGAGGCTCGAAGGATAACCAGGTGAGACCCTGAAGCACGGAATTGCCTGCTTCCAAGCTTCCCCCACTGTCACATCCCCCCATAGGGACCTTGGAACTGAGAATGGGACTTATGGATTGTGGGGGCTCCAGGATGCCCCTTCCACCCCCCTAAAATTCCTAGTATGGAATTTTGTCAAGCTCCCAATCTGCTAGGCTGTGGTGAGGAAGGGACCCAGACAGCAATCTGACTGAGCTTACTCTGGGGTCTCAGGGAAAAACAATGGATCAATCTGAGAAGTAATGTGTAGCCTGGAAGGTGTCCTACAGGCTAAGAACCCAACTGGTGCTTATACGCTAAGAGGAGAGGGTTAGGAAAAGGCGGGGGAGGGACTAGCCAGAGAATAGAGACCCAGACAACCTGAGTCAAGGTAGCCCTTCACCCTAGCACACTTAGATGCCAGGTTACAATTAAACTATTCATGATTATGTCTTAAACCAAATTCAGATAGCACAAATAATATTGCTAGAATTTCCAAGGACTTAAATAGAGCCATGGTGAATGGAGGAAACATCATCCGATTTTAAGTTAAGGCCTGGTTTCCTAGGGAACCTAGAGACTTCCCCCACCCCTCCTCCGGGTTGTCTTCTCACCCAGAAAATATGGCATAACTCCCAGGAGTGTCATGTGGAGGAAATGAAAGGGGACAAAAAGATGTGAACTCGACTTGTAAATATAAACGTGGGATATACTATATTCTATCATTATTGATTCAATGGTCAGAATGGGTGGAAGATGTGACCTGTGACAGCTAAGGCCTCTGAGGAGAAAAGCTTTTGGGAGAGAGGGCAAAGGCTATGAGAGAAATTGAATTTCTCAGGCCTTGAAAGCTGGGAGAATGGTTGGATGTTGTCCCCCCCCCCAACCCCGGGCTAGGTTATCTTTCCAGATACCCCTACTCATCGTAGAGACCCACAGGGGAAGGGATCCTAGAAGCCCATTGTATTCCTCCTGGAGAGGCAGGACAAGAACTGGGGGAGGGGGGACCTGGGTAATGGATAGAGTTGCCTGCTCAAATGGTCCACTGTGCTCTCTTCCCAGCATTTGGGCATCCACGAGAATCTGTTGCTGGCTACCCATGCTGCTGGTTAGCTGGTCATGGATGTATTTCATTTTCTTAAATTCAATATGCCCCTTTTCACAGCCCCCCTCCAGCCACACCCTGCACACTTATTTTTTAAAAAGAAACTATATACTACAGTAAATGGGAAAAAAACAGCCTTTCCCTCCTAGAAATAGAATCTACTCGAAGTAGAAGTTTCTAGTAAAAGTAAAAATAGCAAAATAAAACTTCAATTAAAGTGTCAATGCAGACACTGTTGCCGGCTGGGAACTCTGAGCCGGAGGCCTGATTTGTTGATTTCCTTCTTGCTTTTTTTTTTAAGTGACGTTATTGCTGTTTCATGATAGAATAGTACTAAGGCAGGCTTTTTGTTTGATCTCAGAACTATGAGAGAAGAGATGGAGGAATTTTGTGTTGTTTTTGTTGGGGTTTGTTTTGTTTTTGTTTTCTTTTTCTCCCCCAAGAGACTGGGAGATGGGAGGACATTGCTTTCCCTGGTGCTCCCTTGGGGTTTGAGCTCTCACCAGCACCAATCTCTGGTCTCTGCAGTGCCCGCAAACGTCCCATCCCTTACTACCGACCCAGTCCCTCCTCGTCCAGCAGCCTCAGCAGCGCCTCCTCCTGGTACAGCAGCAGCAGCAGCCGCTCCGGCAGCCGCAGTTACTCCCGGAGCCGGAGTCCCAGCCGGAGCCGCAGCAGGAGCCAGACCCGGAGCAGGACGCGTACCAGCCGCAGCTCCAGCTCCCGCAGCCTCAGCCTGGGCTCCCGGAGCCGCAGTCGGAGCCGGAGCCTGAGCTACAGCTCAGCAGAAAGCTATGCCAGCACGAGGCGCTAAGCAAGGGCCCTCCCTCGAGCCAGCTGCCCACCGGGAAGACCCCCTCAGTACTCTGCCAGTCTCCTTTACTACCTGCTCCTCACGCCGGCTCCCTGGTAACAGAGGGCTCCTGGCTCCTGTCTTCTATGCTTTCCTGGGAAGGTGGAATGGGATACAGGGACTCCTACTCCTTTGCCAAGCTGCTAGGAGCCTCTACCAGCGCCATCCTAAGAGTCTTCCTGGGCTGAAGGAGAGGGCCACCTGTGGAAAGCTATCACCCTTGATTCACAAGTTTGGGCCTGGTCAAGACACGTGGCGACAACTCTGTTCCACTCACCGGCTGCTAACAGGATATCTACTGGAGCCCGGGGCTAATCCACCCCCCTTCACCCCCGCCTCGCCCTTCCCCTTCCCCCCCCCGCGAGCCGGCCCTCCTTTTCCCCTCCTTCGATCTCATGGCTGCAGATTTGGACCTCAGTGTTGGGACTAGAGGAGAGCAAGGGTGAAGTTCAAGATAAGAGCTCAGAGCTTTTTACCTCCCACCGTGGGCAAAGGCTGGGAGCTCCCGGGTGCTGCTGGGAGAAAACAGGTATCAGCAGGGGAGGTGGTGGATATCCGGGAAGATTGGAGATGGGCTCTCCTAGTTATCACAGCAAAGGGTCAGGCCATTTGCCCTCCTAATAGGTCAGCCTGGTCAGAGAAGGGACCCCAGCCCGTTTCAGCTTAGTGGAGACCCTTACACAGGGCCTTGTGACCCCACAGGGATAAGGAGCAGGTGGAACAGTCATTATATATACCTTGGGCTACAGCCCTACCTCCCAGATTTGCCTCATCCCCAGAAGCTGGCACCAACTTGCTTCCACGGGACCATCTGCTGAGCATTCCCAGTGCTGTGGCTAGCAGCCAGCCCCCAGCGCCAGCCAGTCTGCCCTTGCCCTCCGCTTGGCGCCTGCCAGGCCCCTCCACGCTGTCCAGACTGCCACACCCTGGCCTCTACCCAGGGCAGGCTGGCACCTGCCGTCTCACGCGAAGACCACTCTCCTTGCCTCTCAGGAATTTCACCAAGATGGGACACTGCGTGTAGCTCAGTGCTATGGGGGAAAGGCCCAAATACAGAGAGCCTGTGGCGGAGGGACTTGAGTGATCCCTGGCTTGGTCCCTGCTAGCTTCTGAGTTTACTGTCAGTTTAGGAAAGTCCAGTGGTTGCTGCTGCCCTCATTCTACCTTCCTCCTCCCCAGGGCTGGGCAGCAAGGGCAAGCTGCCCTCTGACACACAAATGCCATCAGCTGCTTGGTCTGCAGGAGACATTGGGAACAGGCAGGCAAGAGAGATGGTCCTTAAAATAAACCCGCGGGCATCCCCCTCACCAGCTGCCTGGCTTTCCGGAGCCTTGTGGGTGTCAAGTTTGTGGTGACAACAGCTGAATAGGCAAGGGCACACAGAGAAAGAGGTTCTTTCCCCAGCTTTGGACACCGAAGCGCGATGGGTGCAAGGACACATTAGTCATCCCTCTTGCTCCAAGGAAAATATTCGAGGGGGAGAAAATTCCCATCTTGAAAGCAGTGATCTCTCCGTGCCAATCTTGCCTACCCTATCAGCCTGGGGGTCCAGGGAGCACCAGGGAAGCTTGTAGTCTGGTAGGCAAGAAGGATCACCAGTGGCCATGCTTGCTGGCTTTCCCACCGTGGCTTCCAGCCCAGACCAAAATTCCTCCCACCAAGACCCAAGGATGCCTATGCTGAAACCACAAAAGTCCGGATGGCAGGTGCCTGGCACAGGAGTAGGTGCCTCAGGAGGGCATGTACAGCAACTGTAAATAACCCTTATCCATACCCAGGTTGCCAACCCCCGACTCATCTCCCAGGCTTCCAGGAGCCACCAAACCTCCTCAGCAGGACAGATTGTGAAAGCAGGAGAGCCTCCCTTGAAGACACAGACTATCTTCATGCAAACCACTCTAGGGGACCATGTTTTTTTTGCCTGGGGCTCCTAGCAAACTTTTTATTTATTCAATTTATTTATTATTTTTATTTATTATTTATGTGATGAGCTCTTATTCCTCATGGTTAACAGTATTTATTTATTTATTCAGAGAGATTGTGTATCAGCCTATGTGATCATGTGTGTATTTGGTGGGATGGTCTTCTAAATTATTTGTGCTTTTTTTTTTCTTTTAATCCTGTTGCTATGGCTGCAGTTGGAGAGGCCAGAGGCGCCTTGGTCGTTTCCATGAATGCTCTGAGCCCTGTACACTCTGGAATTGACCCAAAAGTATATGAGTCCCAAGGTTCATTATTCAGCTTGATGCCAGTGAGGGTCAGACCTGTGCACACGCTGCACCACGACTGTAACAGAAAGATAGAGTCAGCCACAGAGTCCGTGAGCCTAAATCCAAGACAGGAGCCTAACGTTAGCACGTAGCTACACAAATGTAAAAGAGTCATGAAGGACTCTAGGACTAACTGCTTAGCATCAGAGTGCCATGTCTTTCTTGGCCAGCGCTCAGAGACACCACTGGCACGCATGATAGAGCAGTTACCTCGGGGTTGGGGAACCCTGTGGGTAAGAAGGTTTTGATACTATCATGGCTCTTGGAGACAAGGTGTCAGCTTAATGAGGCTTGACTGATGCTCACAGGCGGAGAGAAAGGCGGGACTAACCCAGGGAAGACACCGTGCTCTTCTTGACAACAGCAGAAGGCACCAACTCCTTCCCCTGAGCAAAACTGATTGGATTCCCGCACGTCACGCCCACCTGCACCTCCTCCAGGTGTCTAATTCCTCTCCCCTCCAGATTTTAAGGTTGGAAAGCTTGCCTGTTTCGTCTGCAGTAGACAAACACTGGGCAGGGGCCATCCTAGGAGAGACCCACACACCCAAAGCAAATGTCCTTTGCTGTGATATTTAGCTGTTCCTTTCAGGGTAGACAGTAAAATACAGATGGAGGGGACAGTCAGATGTCCCCCACAAAAGGTCATTTCTAAGCTCCTTCTGGGATTTAGGATCTGGAGACCTTTATCAGTCCTGACTTACTAACCAGCTGGCGGTGACTTCTGGCTGCTGGCTACAGAGAGCTTTTGCCCTTTCTGAAGTCATTCTCCATGGACTTTCAAGGCCAGCCTGCCTGGTCCAGTTGTGGATTTAGTAAAACTTTCGCCATATCCCTGGATCTTCCCTCCACCATGGCTGTCATATTCTAACCCAAGCAAAGTGTTATCTTTCCTTGGAAACAGTTTCAGAAGGTGTTTAGATACCTCTGAGGCTAAGGTGCACTCTCCTCCTCCTCTCCTTCCTCCTCCTCCTCCATCTCTCCCTCTCATTCCCTTTCTCTTCTATTGTAGTTCTGGCCAAACAAACATAGAACTCTCTCCAGGACAGATAACCATGGCTAACTAGAACCATTAAACCCTGGTGTATCTGTCCATTTTACCCTCATTACTTTCCCCTTCTAAGGAATAACACCACTTGAAAGTGGTCCATAGCCATGCTTGCACAATGATTAGTGCACTGTGTTGTGAAGGCCGTTCATGTGACGGTGAGGATTTAGTTCAACCACCAACATCCACAATGGGTGAGAGTGTAGACTGAGGTTAAGCAGCATGTTGCCGAAGTCCCTTGACCTTTTTGCTGTGAGCATGTCTACATGAATGAAATGGGATTAAGGGCCAGGATTTCCACTTAGTAAGGTGGGGTTGTTGACAAATAATACTGAACATTGGCTTGAGGCCCGAGAGAGTCAACAAACACAATGAGTTTAACCGAGGAGAAGAGAGGGGGGTTTGAAGTACTACAAGGATTTTCCCATTCTTAGGAATAAATTTAAAAATAGCACCTGAAGTCCTACTGGGTAGTTAGAAAGTAAACTACTCCAAGTCACCAGCAAGGACCACTCAAGTCCACCAAAGATGGAGTGCATTCCAGGCTCTGTTTGAAACCGCCTTGGAAGGAGACTCAGCTTTTCAGGAGCAGAATAAAACGGAAATGTTGAGAAGGAATTTGGGTCTCAGTGTCAGAGAGCCCCCATCCTTACATTTCTCAGCCCTATTCTTTTTCCCAAAGAGGTTTGCTTTAAAAAGTACGAGTTTGGGGTGCTACCAAAGGTTGAAAAAAAAGCAGTGAGTTAATGTCTTTCTCAAGGTCAACTTCCAACTTTTTTTCTGCCAAATTTTTTCATTTTTTGTGATGCTGGGGGTCCATGTGCACATTAAGCAAGTGTTGTAGCCAATGAGCCACACCCTCAGCCCTGTGCTAGATTCCCCCCACTCATCTCTTCTATGTGTGTTCCAAACAAACAAACAAACAAAACATTTTCCTCTTTGGTTTCCCTTCTGCTGAGTAGAAAATTTGATTTGATATTAAAATGACACACACCCTCCTCCTCCACTAGCCAACCCACCAGAGACACTTGGGTCAGACACAGCGTCATTGACAACACTGTCAAGAATTCTATTCCTTCTCTGTTCTGCACTGATGAGCCAATGGCACTGACACCATGGTCACCATCCCTCTGCAACTTTTTTGTTTATTTGTTTGTGTATTTGTTTTCTTTTTAAATTTTGTTCATCTGTTTTGATTTTGTGAGTTGATTTTTTATTTAATTCTTTTCTTTTTGGTGGTGATCATTTCGCATTGTAAATACCATGATGTGAGCCTGTCCTCGGAACATGGCTTATTTAATAATTTATAATTTATTATTATTTCCTATTTATTGAGTGGTATTGGAAAGCAGCCCTCCCCCTGGATTGTTACTGGAAAGCATCCATCTCTCGGTTCTGGGTGCTGCTGTCTGTAGTGGGGAATTATCACCCAGGTAATGAATGCTAGAGTCACCAGACGAATTGGAACCGGCAGAAACAGAGGTTCTCATCATACAAATTAAGTCCAAATGGAGCTAAAACACTGGTTATCTCCGGAAAACCTCATTTAGATGGAAATTAATTGAGGAACTCAAATGCCTGTACACGAACCAACTTCTATTAAAAAGTCACAGCTAAAAAAATACAGAGAGAGAATCGTTTTTCTCCATCCACGTGAAATTATGTCTCATTTATTATTAGCAGGCTGAATCAAAGAGAAAGCAATGGTGGTGTGCCTTTGTGGTTTTCTTGCCTTTGGAGATAAAAGTAGTGGGTCTTGGGCCTCAGTCTCATCAGCTTAGGGCTTGGTCAATGTGTTTTGGAGAGGCCATGGGGAGAGAGCTCTACTCTAGTGCCATGGACTCCATCCTGGTGGATATTGTGGCTGAATCTTTCGCTGGAAGGATGACAACCAAGGACTGAAGAAAAGTGGTGTAGGGATTGCATCAATGTGCAGAGTTGGAATAGCTGAGATGGGAGACACATCAATATGTCCTAAGTACAACTTAAACTCTGCAAGTCCTGGAGTCATGATGGGGAAAACAAGCATCTTTTCCCTGTCCTGAACCTGTCTGTTGTCCTTTGTCAGGCCATATCTTCTACAATTATTCTGATCAGCTGGTGACAAAGGTCCTATGGCTACTTTTCAGATAAAACTGTGCCCGTGGAAGGGAACTGTTACTCCCAACTCCTGGGACTGGCATCTGCCTGACTCTGTGTCTCTTGTCCCTTATGAGACTCCTCTCTAGGGAGTGTAAGCTGTGAGGATTCTGCACTATCTTTTCTCCTGAGGCTAAGAGGCTAAGCTATTTCCTCAAGTGGCCGTTGGTCAAGGACCTAACTGATTCTGCTGCACTGGCACAGGGGAGTTGGAGCATCTCAAGGCTATTTCTCTACACTGGGGCTAGGACTTCCATTTGAAAAATCTCAAGGCAGAGGATCTCCAAGTGACCCAGCTCAGCCCAACCATCTAATATCTGTCCAGGGTGTATGCATTGGAGAGGGAGAAACTTCTGTGTCATCCAGAATCCCAAGAGTCTGTCCTTTGCCCAGGGTTACAAGTGGCCATAGCCTACCCAGAGTTACCAGGTTTTCAGCCTGTAGGACTCACACCTCTATTCTAATTAAAGGTCCATGGTATGGTGTTCTTGTATGTGGCCCGGTGTCTTCTGTGAGAAGGAAGATGAAGTGTTAGGGAGCTCTCATAACCCACCCGCTGTCACACACACACACACACACACACACACACACACACACACAGCTCAGTGCATTCACTCAGTTTGCCAAACAGACCTGTAAGCATTTGGATTCTACTTTTGTGTAAGTGTGTGTGTGTGTGTGTGTGTGTGTGTGTGTGTGTGTGTGGTATGTATTCACACACATGCAGAAGTCAAAGGATAACTTCAGATATCATTCTTCGGGTGTTGTCTAAGACTTTTTTTTGAGACAGAATCTCTCTATGAGGTCAGTGAGTCTCAGGGATTAGACTGTCTCCATCTCCCCCAATGCAAGGGTTATACCTGTGGGACACTGCATAAAAACTTTTTACATGTGTTCTGGGGATCAAATTCAGTTCTTCACATTTGTGAGGCAGCTACTTTATCAAGGGAGCCATCTAGCCAGCCTGGATTTTAGTAGCATCTATGGGCTCCCTCAGGAAACCTATTCTAAACCATCTCATTGTATGCCTTCCCTGCAACCCAACATTAGACTTCCTTCCTCACATGACAGAAACTGGAGCCTAGAAAAACAAAGCCACTTACCCAAGAGCCACAGTCTTCAGAGCCAAGGACAAAATTCAGACAAGCTGAGTCTCAACCACAGGTTGTCAGTTCTCTGTAGCTCCAGAATTTGTAGTATTTGACCTCTTCAATAGAGTTTTGTTTTGTTTTTTTGTCTTGAGACTTTCATGGTCTGACAAAGACTTTAGTCCCTAAATATCTAGGGCCCTTCTACTGCTACTTGTGCAGCACTGGACAAGGGCCACACCCTGTGGATGACTGGTTTACTCATCTGTAGAATGGGTTAACAGCAGCTACCTCCCTTAACTGCTCTGGGAACAAAATGAGACCTTCTATTCTTTAAACACATAAAAGGAGGAGAGCATTCCATTAATGCTAACGAGCAAAATTAGGTTCCAGGACTGAGTCTGAAGCGTAGAAGGGGGAGTCTTGAGGTCAGCCCAGTAAAGCCAACTTGGAACACAGGGATTTTCTGGAAATATTCCCCGGGGAAATTTCAACATCTCTCCCATTCCAGGGCAGGTTGAAACTACTTAAGGGATAGGTGGGAGTGGGAGGGATGTGGAATCACAATATACAAATTCCAGGCAAGAACCTCAGCTCAGTGTTGCCATGTGTTCCAGTTTTAGGTTAAAAATCTTATAAAGTGTTCATAACATCATTTTTTCAAATATCATGTGAGTCACTATTACACACACACACACACACACACACACACACACACAGTTATATGCATCACTCATCCTGTGTCGTCTTACCCAATGAAAACCTGCCTTGGGAATCATGAGGCTGGGGTAACCTCTCCTTGGTAAATCTTGGGCTACCCACCCCACCCACCCCCACACACTGAGATCATTCTTTCTAAATAGGCTGGTTGTGAAGTCAAACCGTGTACATTTCTGAGGCTCTCTGGTGACCAGGACTATTAAAACTCACCAATGACTTAACTGTCACACGACCTTTGCCCACACCAAGACTTCACATTTATAGTGCTCCATTTGGCAGAAGACCCAGTCAAGGCTCCAGGGGCAAGTTCACATAACTAATGGGTATTTGCATCCAGATGTGAGGTATTTCTTTAACACCTTTTATTTTTCATCCCGAGTGTGTGACCCTCATCAACGCAGAGCTAGTCCCCCCGGCCCTCAAAGGGCACCAATAACATGACTTCTCAGAAAGTGTGGTTTTCTAGGAGGCTGTCCCTGGAACTAATGTCATCACCTCTCCATGACTCATGGAGAGACCTTCACCTTTCAATCTCTGGCACAGATTCCCAGTTACAGAAACCCATGTGATTATTCATCTAGTGACTGGTCTGGATAGATGCTCCACCCCCACCCTCCTAGTCTCAGCTGTCCTGGCTACAGAGGAAAGCAACCTGCTTCTGCAGATACCTCTGTCCTGACCAGATTGGCAGCTGCCCAGGGACAGAGCAGAGGCCGCATGCATCAAACACTTCTGCTTCTGATGACCTGTAGATGCGTGCAGCCTCTCTGCTGGGTAGAATCAATGAAACAATTCGAGGCGTGGGAGGAATGTTGGAAAACAAAACTTCCCAAGAGATGGAATCCAGACTCCTGCCCTGAGATTACAGCATGACCATTTAAGCAAGTTAAGCCCTTGTTTAGAACCCTTCTACTCCATCTATTGAAAGGGATGGGAGGACTAGACCAGAGAGTCTCAATCATGACTATTAAAATCGCCTTGACCTTTACAAAACACCCATGCTTGACCCACCCCAAACAATGCATGTTCGAGGGAGAATGCCAGGCATCCATGTTCTAGGGTGGAGGATACATTTACACCATGGTGACCACAAAGCCAACAGTAAGATCACCTAGCACCTCCACAATGCCAATCAAGGGCCAGGCAGGTATCCGGGAAGTTCCATTTGTGTCAACGTAAGTTACCCACATATTCTTCTCCATAACATCTGCAGGAGATGCTTGTTACTGTCAATGCCATAGTTGCACTGGAACACATATGGTTGCTCCAGGTCTCATTGGTGGCAAAACTACATGGCTAGCTTTTAGGATGGGGGAAAGTAGAGAGTAACTACAACTTAGAGGGTCAAGCAAGATATCATAGGGGTGAAGAAAGTGCCCTCTAGACAGATGCTGGAGAAGGAGTAGGAATTAGCCAAGAACAGAATTGAATCCTGGGGAGGAATCAGGGCGATTGTGTGCATGGGGTGGGAACAAGGCAGTGGTTACAGCTACCTGAAGTCAGCTCCCCACTATAACCTCCCATGCCCACCCCTTCCTTCCTTGGTGTGTTCTTTCCTAAGTACTTACTGATTCCCTGCTACCTGTAATTACTTCTCTTGTTTGTTTAATGCCCATCTCTGAGGGCAGGAGCCTTCTCTGCCTCACTCATCCCCTGTCCCTGCAGGGACACTCTCCTCGGTATGTAACCAGCTGTCAAACAATTGAATCTGCCCAGGGCTGCCATCTCTGCTCCCTCCCAAAGCCTGTTCATTTTGAAGCTGGTTAACTTGCATTTCATTGGTGTGTGTGTGTGTGTGTGTGTGTGTGTGTGTGTGTGTGTGTGAAAGCTGCAGCAAGGTAGTGACTTGTCCCCAGAGCAATATCAATGATCTCTCATGATAAGCCCTGGGAGAGAGAGAAGGGAACACAGATGGCACGGCAGACATGAGCACCTACCATTCACCTGACTTGGCTTGAGGAACAGGGACACCTATCCTGGGGCTACAGAATGACACACATCTTAAAAACAGCAGTTGGGGCAAAGACTTGAGCCTCAAGAAGACCTAGTTATGAGTGTGTTTCTGTTAACCTGGTAACTATGCGTATGTTAGTTACGTGGCCTCTCCGAGCTTTGGATTTCTTACTGCCCAATGAGAATAACAAAACACCAATTTTATGAAATGACTGAGGAGCATAAAGGAACTGGTGTGCACAAGGCACTCAGAAACATGGGCAAGTGATTGGCGTAGCATGGACCCCCATGTCAGGAAAGGGTAGCAGGAGAATCAAGCGCCTAGGTAAACTCACAAAAAGTTTCTGGAAGAATGCCTAGACCCTACCCGGAGTGAAATGACAGACTCTAGATATCCCCTATGTGGAAGGAATTGGCAATAGGGTGGGAGGCTGGGGGGGAAGGGGAGTGCGGGAGGAGGGGAGGGAGAGGAAACTGGGATTGACATGTAAAACAAGCTATTTAAAATTAAAATAAAAAATGATATAAAAAGTTTCTGGAAGATTCCATACCATCTAGGCTGAAGGCAGAAGAGCAAGCACTCTCACCTGTTGCCCTCCATATTGTCTCCTCCACTCAGAAGACACAAGTCTCTGAAAAGCCTGGCACTCTCTGCCACCCCCATCCCCTGGCATTCCACTGAAGCTCTCCACATGGGTCATTTAGTGCTGAAAGACCATGGGCTATTCATGCCTGTCCATCAAGGTGGAGCAACAGTTCTTCTTACCACACCCTGGGACTCCATCTCCACATCATGGGATAGCCAGGGCCAGCCAGCAGTCGGCTGACTCATGGGTGACTTTTCTTTTTGTCTTTGCTTTGCCATAGAAACTTGCCCCATGCTCTCACAAACTGCAACCAACACTGGGTCTCTTTGACAGTCAACTTTCTCACATCTAAACCTGAAATGAGTATTACCAACCACATCAAATAGAGTCACACTGCCTAGCAGAAAGGGATTGAAAGGGGCTGGGGTGATAGCTCAGTCAGTTAGTGCTTGCCATGGAAGCCCAAGAGCCTGAGTTCAACCCACAGCAATGAGCTAGGTGTGGCGGTATGTGTTTGTAACCCCAGCACTTGGGAGATGGAGACAGCAGGATGACATGAGACTCTGGCCAGCCAACCTATCTTAGCTGGTGAGGCTCAGATCCCCATGAGAGATACTGTCTCAAAAAATGAGGGGGCAGAGACTAAAAGAAGACACTCGAGGCTGTCCTTGAGTCTCCAGTGTGTGTGTGTGTGTGTGTATGTGTGTGTGTGTGTACATATGTATGTGTACCAGAACACACACATGAACACACGCACACTTGCAATAAGCAGACATTAGAAGAACAGCAGAATGGAAATGGACATGCACACATATGTACATGAACACACAGGTGGGAGGGGGAAAAGGGGGAGAGACAGACAGACAGACAGACAGACAGACAGACAGACACAGACAGAGAGAGAGAAAGAGATTGGGTTGTTCTTCTCAGCCTCCCTTCCCACAATCCTTATTTCTACATTACGGATCTTTTATTGTTTTTTGTTTGTTGTTTTGTTTTGTTTTTTCTGAGACAGGGTTTCTCTGTGGCTTTGGAGGCTGTCCTGGAACTCACTCTGTAGACCAGGCTGGCCTCGAGCTCACAGAGATCCACCTGCCTCTGCCTCCTGAGTGCTGGGATTAAAGGGGTGCGCCACCA